ACTCCGCGTTTGTACAATTATTTATCCTACTAACTTTGCGTTCTTGTGCGAAATGACGATTCCCTGGAAGAACTCTCAGAGCTTTCACGCAACGTCATCTATCGCGTCAGAAAACCATTTCAGACCCTGCATTGCTCTATGATTCCGAGTCGTTGGGGTTCACCCTTTGGTGTCACACGTTTCGTATCTTCCTTTTGAGGAACATTTTAACTGTATGCTTGTAAAAATTTCATATCATTTTTTACTGTTAGTTTAGAATACCTATTGGAGGCCACTCGGAAACCTCTTCGTGTTTTAATTTTATTGTAAACGTTGACCCAAGCATCAAAGTTCATTAGTTCCTCCCAGGTGGTCAGGCGATAACTTGCATTAAAACTTTACTATCTTCTCTCGTAAAGATGGTTGCTGAGAATGCTTTCTTGCGCCCCAGGTAAAACATGCTGCCCAAGATTTTTAAAGCTAGGAAGAGGTTTCCTCCGTAGTAGTGAGAGAGATGCTATAGAGAAAATTCAGAACCAGCCGAAAAAAAATGTCTCCAATAGTTCCGACCGATACAATGTAGAATGTAAGTTGAGCAGAAATACGGAAATAAATTCGAAACTTTATAAATTGATTGCTCCAGAGAAACTGTGAATGGAAATAATTTACATGTTAAGTTAAAGTCAGCGGCTGATCTAGAAACTACAGTTCGCGAACTTTAAAACAAAGGTATTCACATTATACCATGATTCTTCTTACATCTTATTACATCTAAACATGATATTCATGTTTAGCTGTAACAAGACTATTCAGATGTTTAAAGTAGTTTTAATGAAGTAATAGCATCATCAAAATAATTATTAGTAATATATCATGGAACGTCCTTATATTTGAAAATGAAGAAGCGTTCCAGGAATAAGCCAGAGTTTTTAAAGTTATGCAAAATGCCCAGAAAGAAAGATGACTAGCACATTAATCTACCGATCGTTTTTGTTGATTTATCGCGAGGTGAGTCAATAAAAGAATTTATAAGTAACAAGATTTCTCAGCCTCGTAATTTACATCAAATAATTCAAAAGAAAAGAACTTGGGTTTACTCAATACTGAAACGCGAAAACATCTTCGTCCAGGTTTGTTTACTGTATTGAAATAGTGCCTATCATGGTGGTTTGTTTTATTTGAGTATGGCAAACCACGCTAGACAACTATCTAACCAAGGCGAAGGATGCGTTCGTGGAGAGCTTTGTGAAGGAAACTGGTTCGTATCCACGACACAACCACTAAAACGACCATTCTGCCAGCCAGTTCACCTGAAATCGAGTCCAGGTCGAACTATTAGTTTTCAGCAACATTACGGCTCTAACCCTTTCTGTTAAAGCGCCTTTAATCGAATACAGCCTGCATAACTGCAGAAGGAAGCCCTGCTAATTGGTGAAGGAATATGGAGTTTTAGTAATGCAACGCTTTTTACTAAGTAGTTGCTCCTGACCTAAATGCTGGGACACGTAAAGAAAAATTCATTACTAAACTGAAACCCTGAACTGTAGGATAGACCTCCGACCTCCTTTTAAGTTATTTAACCTTCTACAAATAGCTATTTAAAAGGACATTTGTGAAGAAATAGGCAAAGAAAATATTCTTTGAAAGCATATCAAGTTTTTATCGTACTATCGATTTCTATATTTCGTTTTAGATTTCTCTCTAGCAGGCAAAAGCATTTATGTATGCCTCTACGCAACTTTTCACGTATGCGCTAGACGTAATGCATCGTATCACATACCATTTGCAACAAGGAGGTTAAAATAAACTCAAGGAGGCTATTCTAACCTCCTTGATTAGCAAGGAGAAAGATCAAAATTAAAAAGAGTATGGTACGCTTTCTTCTGGGCGTGCGAAGCTACTACATCATCGTAACTTTAAAAAATCGTCAAATTAAAAAAGGGATCTCAAATCTGTATAGCTATTTGTATATAAAATATTAGTTAGTTCCCTCTACTCCATTTAACATGAAATCTTTATTTGTATTAAATATCAGAAGAAATATATTACCAAACATAAACCAAATTTCGTACAATAATAACCAACTAAAAAAGTTACTTGCAAGCAGTATCTCTGGCTAGTTAGAAAAATTCCTTAAATATTTTATTTATCTTGATTTTTAAACAAAATATTCTGATTTCTCTTCACCTCTTTTGCGAAATTTTCTGCTACATGCATACAAAAAGTCACTTAATTAATTTTAAAAAAATCTATCCTAAATTACTACTGTAGTTCAATTTGAATTTTAATCACATCCTTCTAATTATATTCTTTAGACAGACAGACAGACAAAGTAGACAGATGTCTTTTGTTGCACCCGCTAAGTCTTTCTGCACCGATGGGCGAAAAATCAAGCATAGGTGCGAAGGAAAGGTATATAGAAAGGGGGGCAATTTCGTATTTCAGAGGAGAGTAAAAAGGAACTTCGTATATTTTATACGAGTTCGAAAGGCCAGGAAGAAAAGATGGGACAAAATAAAGTAAAAATAAATGGCCCAAAAGTAATGGAGAGGAAAAAAATTTATTTATAATTAAAAAAAAGGGCCTATAGAAGAAAAGGAAAGAAGTAAGAGAATTTTGTTTAAAAAAAAAAACACGATTGTGTTCATTAGTGTAGTCAAAGTTGTTATCATTTACATTAAATACAGTCTCCAGGTGTGTGTAATGAGTGTGTTTTGTAAAGCTGAATAGAGGTAAAGATGGGGAAAATTAATAATAAATAATAAATTTTGGGGATCCAGTCACATAACAGTATAAGTCAAGTTTAGAAGCTAACTTTTGCTATAACAAGGAAACTAAAATTTAAAATTTTTTTAAATTTAAACTTTTATTTTTTTACATGGAAACCAATATTAGCCTCTACCTTGAGACACAGTAACAGAAGACACATAAGATCAAGATACATATAATATCATGCAAAGTTATACATTAAACTAAGTAACATCATCTATTGCGGTTTCCAACATATTTATATATTCAGAAAACACCATCAGATAAAATCATAAATCCAAAACAAGGCGAGAACATATCAGCAAAAATAAATAAGTAAATAAATTACGGAGAGTTTTTTATTATTATTATTAATCAATTTTTTTTAAAAATAAGCATTTTATTTATTTATTAAGTTAATGGTCATAATTTATTATATGTGTACTATTTTATCAATTTGAGGCGCACTGTATTAATATATGCTTTTAATTTAAATAGATAGGAAATATAGATTAAAGGAGCAAAAACTACAACTCTGTACATTCATTGAGGCCCGAGATCGTGTTTTTAGCAAGGAGGTTAAAATAGAAGGAGGGAAGGTTCAACTCAAACGGTGAAGCTTGGCGGCCATGTTACTGTTATCACTCTGACTTGTGCAAGGAAGTCTGTAATTGTAACATTTTTTTTTTCCTTTCCTTTTTGAAGCATGTCTGCTTATATTGCATATGGATGCACAAATAGATTTTCGAAAAATATTCCTGGGATTACTGTTCACTCGTAAGTATTTTCTTTTTTTATGTAATTTCATAAATATTGTTAAAAAAATGTCACAATGTCATGTTTGTTTTCTTTCCAGATGTGACAAAAAAGACTTAATAATAATCGAAACATGTTAAACAATACATACATTTTAATGCTTTTGCTTACAGCTGGTATCTTCGTTCCTTAACATACAATGATATATGCTAGGATTATATGCTTGCTGTATAATTTGAACGCTTAGATAATTCGTTTTATAATTTTCATGAAAAGTAAGAAATCAATTATTACTATTTTTATGAATTGTAAAGGTGTTAAATAAAGCAAAACTTTTCTTTATGTATTAATTATTATTCATTCTTAAGTTTTCTGAACTGTTACGAATATAATTTGTGCATTTGATCAAGATAAACTGTTCTGTTGTTAAAATGTTTTTGCATAAGCTTACAAATTTCTGGGCAGTATAGCGATAAACGTAAGTAAAATATTTACACAATTGAACATGTGAAAGATATATCCAAAATTTATATAGGTATATTTTCTGTAATTCAGCTTAATTCAAGGTAATTTCTTTGAGATTCATAAATATGAAACGCGCATAAACTGAAATCATTGAATTCACATAAATCTGTTTTATTTTATTAATATTTATTTTCTTGTTGATATAAGGTTGTTGATTGTGAAAAGAATCTATTTAAAACTTTCATTTAAAAAAAAAAAGCAACATGTTACCATTTTTTTAGATAATTATCTGCTATTAATTTCAGGTAAAAATGATTCTTTAATAAATTATAATAATATTGCGAATAAATCAGAAATATCACTTCTTAAAGAAACAATTGGAAAGTATACCGGAGAAGTTGCTAATAAAACCTAAACAAATTCTTGAAATTATGCAGAAACCTAATTTGTAAAAGCTTTAATGTTATGCACATGCATTTAGATTTCGAAATATTTCCTAATGATTACTTAAAAAATTTCTTAATTAAAAAAAACTCTAGAAAATTCTAAATACTATTTTTGAATTAGAAACGCTTAAACCTCGCACCGTTTCAATGGGTCAGACGTGCCGGTCATTTTGTAGGTTTAATGATGGAGTAAGCATGACGTCACAAAATTGAAGCCGAGGAAGGATCGACAGCGTGACGTCACGACTGATGAGCCAGCATGGCTGCCGTGTAGCGTACGGATAAGACGAAAGCTTTGTTTATAATTGTATTAAAAAACTGCTCAGCCAGATAAAATTGGTGAATGTAGTGAAGGATGTCAATCATTCCCGCTGCTACGCAGCTAATTTCATAAGTAAATGCCATAAACAGGTATTTTAGTATTTCTATTATTCTGACTTTATTGCTACTCGCTATTAGTTCAGCATTGCTTTGTTGATCGTTTCGACCTGATTTTGAGAAATATGGATAGATGTGCTGCACCAAATTGTCAAATCATTCTAGAAATAACTTTAGGATGTTTTGTTTAGCAAAAAATGAAAAAAGACGAAGAAGAAGTAATTCTTTCTGGTCGAGATCAATGGATTTCGGTCGCAGGAGCGTGTTTTTGTGAAGTAAGTGCAGCTTCGTATTTTTTCATAGCATATGAGAAAAATTCCCTTATTATTTTTTTTCAAAATGTGTACTTTCATTTAGCTGTCACTTATTGACGCTGAAATGATTTTACAAATATAAAATCAATTGTGGAATGTGTGTGCATTTGTGCAGCAAAATATCGCCAATACTGTTTTTTACTGTTGCTAATAGTTTATACTGTTTGTAAAATTGTATTCTATATTTCATGTAAACTTTGTCTCGGTTGGGATTGTAATAGGCGTTTTTTTATTTAAATTTTACTGTACGAATAGTGTATTAAAGGTCTATGCTGTATTTTGATTCTGATGTATTGTCGCCAAATATATCAGTTGGCGCCAGTCTTAAAAATTGGTAAGTATAACATAAATTATAAATTGTTTAGGTTATTCTGTATAGTGAGGTAAATATATTCTGTGTCCTTCAGGAAGCTTCATAAACTTAATTATTTATTCTTAATTTTGTCCTATTTTCATATAAAAGTTAAAATTTTTCACAAAATTTCATTCTTAATAGTGTGATTAAATTCATTTAGTACATGCAACTGTAATTAAATACTAGTGTTTTTTGATTTTAATGTTAAACTTCATACATGCTTTTGTTAAATTTGAAGGTGCATTTTGAAGAAAACCAGTTTGAATGTTCTAGGAAAGATGGGTTTAAAAAACTAAAGCCTTGTTTAATGTGCCTAATCCAACACAACTGTTGACCCCACAGCATGTAAAAGGCATTGGGTTTACCAAACTACCATTCAATGATATCCAGTTTTTAAAAATGTATGTTTTTTTTAAGTTTTATAGTTTTCATAAAAAATGTTTCATATTAAAAATGGACTAATTTGTTTTATAAATAAATCAAAATATTGAAATTCAGGCATTATATGATTAAGCTTTAATTTCAGTGCTTAAGAATAGATTAAAAATTGAAATTTTTAATAGATAATAATTCATAATACTGTTTAAATTTTGCTGTTATATATATATATAATTAAATGTGTATTTTATTATAATAATCATATTTAAAATGAGGCATAAAAGCAACCTCAATTTGATATAGTTTTTGATTAAAATTACTGATTTCGAGGCCTATCAGACACAGGTCTCATTTCTTCAGATTTGCCCCTAAAAAAGAGAAACCTGTATTTGATTGCCTTCAAAGTCTACAGAGGTTTGTTCAAAATCAGGATTAAACTAAAATAACTTTTTTGCTTAATTTTAAATTTTACATATATATAGGAATATGCATTAAGTAAGCAAAAGAACAGTATTATTGAAAGTAATAATTTTGAGTAATATAATAATATGGTAATGTATGTTTTAATGTCCTATATGTCTTGTCTAAGTCCTCGCTTTCAGAAGTGGGGCTTCATTGTTTAAATAATGTAAAGTCCTTCACCTATTATAAATTTCAGATTTTACATAGAAATATCATACAAAGTAAATTTGAAGTTAGTCATTAAGGTTAAGTATTTATAAAATGTTTGTATTTTGTTCACAAAAACTTCCATCATGTAGCAGTTACTTTTATGTTATGGAAGATATCAAGCTCTGCTAAATCAAATTTACTTTTGTGTGACCTTAAATCTTAAGCACCAATCGTAAATTTGTTTTGGCATATTTTTAAGAATTTGAATGAAAAATTTATTGCTACTGTGAAAGAATGATCAACTGATGTTTACCTTACTAATCAATGTCTTACAGTGTTGTAATGATTCGCAGGATTTTTCATAATGTGATGTTGCATATATGTTTTGATCTTATCAAATAAATATAAAGAATGTATTCCTAATCAGATATTTCTTCTTACGTAAGATTATTATCTATCATGATGTGATGCTTAGGATTTGTTTTTAGAAGCCAAAACACTATTTTTTGAGATGCTAATAAAAGCAATGTATTTTATTTATTTACTTACTGCTTTAAAACAGGTTTTGAATTAAGGCTTTCCCCTTCCTTACAGTATGCACATAAAACTCACTTAAGCTATATTTTTAACATATTAATGAGATATATGTAAATAAAATATGTCTCTTAGGGTAGCTCCTTTAATAGGGGGGAAAACTGAACTAAAATGGTATACCTTAAAAACATTTTATTGAAAACAAAAAATACTATCATAACAGTGTCGGCTAAGATTTATTCAGATGGTTTTTTTTTTGCATTTATTCTGGCATTTCCCCATAAATTCATATAAATAAAATTTCAGGTAAAGTAGGTCTAGCATTATATCATTCTATACAAAGCTGTTGACTTTATGTATATTTATCTATACAAGCTGTTGACTTTATGTATATTCTATAAGGTGTTGTGTTGACTTTAATGGAAAAAATCCAGTTACTGTGTTTTAATAAAATTTGATTATAATGGAATGACTTGCACTGTGTTAGAAAAAAAAAGAGTGAAAAATAACAATTTTTGTTTTATTTTCACTATAAGTACAAGTATTTTGCATATGTTTGTTATCAAAAGATGTAGATTTAAAGCTAAATAATACTTTTGTTTTTACTTATGCAAATTAATTAATAAGGATATTAACTAATTATAGAATTATTGGTACTCTTCTGTTATCGGGACCGGATTCAGAAATCTCTATATGGATGTATATTGAATGTATGTATATATGAACCATGCATATGTATGTGTGTATACATACATTTTTGATTTCCATCCCGATAACAGAAGAGTACTGAATTATCATTAAATATTCAGATATGTGTAATAATATATTAACAACATTGTTTCACGAGAAAATAGTAAAATTAAATTAATTTTAATAATTTTCTTGTGCCATTGCTTCAAGGAATGAAATTTGAATTTAACAAATATTCACTATTTGTATATAAAGCAAATATAAAATTCTCTACTCATATAAAGCAAATATAAAATTAAAATTTTAAATTTTATGTATGTTTTTTCCCTTGTTTAATTCATAAATTTACCAGTTTTTCTATGTATTGTATAAAGTATTTTCTCAATAGCAAATGTATCGGTAAATAGTGTCTGTAAATTTTGTGTGGAAAGGTATTCTTTTTATTTATTTATGTGTGTATTTATTAATTTTTAAAATTTTCTTTTTAGCTAAATAAAGAACAAAAATAGTATTTTTGATATGGAATTTTTACATTGCTAAATTTATATAAAAATATATTTTTAAAATATAGATTCCCACAGCCATTAGAGCATTGAAATAGTTTTTATAGCATTCTGCTAAAACATCAAAATTTAAAGGTGTATATCTCAAATCAGTATTTAAAATCATAAAGCTTTTAGCTACCTTTTTCTGGATATGCACACAAAATAACATTTTTAACCAAATTGTTGCAATAATAGACATTCGATTCCATGTGAGCAAACTTCAAACTGCATATTAAAAATGATAAACAAGAAGTAGATTAAAAATGAAAAACAAGAATTATTATGCAGACAAGCTATTAAATTTTTCAGAAGTTTAAAATGCGAACTTGCTAGATATATTAAAGCATCAGCATGTATTTATCCACTTATCATATAAAATTTGCTTACAATTTTAGAAAAGTAACTTTTGATTCAGAAAAGCTTTAGAAACTTAAAAATTACTGAAGTTTTCTTCATACAAATTTGTAGCCACAGCTTTAATGTTCTCTAAATAATTTAACATGTAATGTAAATAAAAGTAATATGCTTAACTCCATCAGTACTGAAATGGTATAGTTAAGATATTAAGAATTATCATACAAGTACTGTATTGAAAGGCTTATAATTTTTATATAATACATGAAACTACCTTGAATTATAAAAGAAAAGTAGTTACATAAATATGAAAACGTGATTTCAAACCCATTATAACCTCATGGAAATTAAGAATACAGCTGCGGGAAATCTCTTGTCAAAAAGTACATTTTGAGTTGTCTAACATTATGCATGTATTGTATGCATGTATGTAAAAGTATAAACTGAAAATTCAGAAGTAAGTTGACAAAAAAGTTTTTGTAACTTATATATGAATTTGAAGTATATGTGAAAATGTTTTAAAAACGCATCATGAATCATATGAGAAATTCGTCATTTTAAAAAACTACGAGAGAGAAGTCACACATCTCTATATGAGTGCGAAAAATCGGAACTTAAGATTCTCTAAAAGGTCCTCTAAAATGTTAAATAATTAAAGTTTTAACTAATACGGCTAAAGAGCCAAAGATTGGCCCCCAACCGAAATTGCAACCCTAAAGGGTCGCAAAAACATGGCTGACGACTCACACATATTAAGGCTACTATAAAGGGGAGCTGAATCATCATCCATTTTGAAGCTAACTTGTTGGTATTCGCTATTGGATTTGCACTGATTTGTTGACATATTTGTGGATCGATTCCGACCTAATTTTCAGAAATATGGGTGGTTGTGCTGCACCAAATTGTTCGAATCAGTCTCAAAATAACTTTAGGATGTTTCGTTTCCCTAGAAATGAAGAAAGACGAAGAAAATGGATAGTTAATTCTCGTCGAGATCAATGGATCCCGGGCCCAGGAGCGTATCTTTGTGAGGTAAGTTCAGCTTCGTATTTTTCCATAGAATGTTAGAAAAATTACTCTTCTTGGTACTTTAAAATATGTATTTTCATTTAACTGTCACTTATTGACGATCAACTGATTTTATAAGTACAAAATCAACTGCGGAATGTGTATGTGTTTGTGCAGTAAAATATCGTTGTTTCTTTTGTTATCGTGAAAAGTTTATACCGTTTGTAAAATTTGTATCATACATTTCATGTAAACTTTGTGCTCAGTTAGAAATGTGATGTGCCTTTTTCTTTTCTTTAATTTTACTGTACGATTGGTTATTTAAAGTAGCATTCTATGTTTTGATTCTGATGTATTGTCGCCAAATGTTAAAAACTGGATGGTATGATCCAAATAAATAAATGATTTTGTTTTTTCTTTATAGTAAGGTAAATATATTCTGTATTTTTAGACATTTTTAAGAAGTTAAATATTAATTTAAATATTCGATGAATCGTTTTGATCCCATTATTATCCTTTATTGTAGTAGTAAATCTTAATGTTGTATTTTTAACTATAGGTACCTTTAAATTTATTTTTAGTGTGTGAGCAGGAAATATGTTTTAAGTAGTTTTACAAACATGATTACTTTTTAAAAATTTTGTTCTATTTTCATAAAAAAAATTAAATTTATCAGAAAATTACATTCTTAAATTAATATAATATATGTAACTGTAATTAAATACTAGTGCTTTTGATTTTAATGTTAAATTTCATGCATGCTTTTGTTAAATATGCAGGTACATTTTGAAGAAAATCAATTTGAATGCTCTAGGCAAGATGGGCGTAAAAAACTCAAGCCCAATGCTGTGCCAACTCTTTTCAATGTGCCTAATCCCCCACAACTGTTGACCCCACAGCGTCTAAAAGGCATTGGTTTACCAAAGCACCGTTCAGTTACATCCAATTTTTGTAATGTATGTGTTTTTTTTTTATTTTTATGGTTTTTCATAAAAAAATATGTTTTTATTAAAAATGGACTAAATTGCTTTATAAAAGAATCAAAATATTGAAATTAAGGCATTATGTGATAAAGCTGTAATTACAGTCCCTAAGATTAGATTAAAAAATTAAAATTTTGCTGTTGTTATATATATAATTAAGTATGTACTTTGTTATTATAATCATATATTGAAAATTAGGCATAAAACCTCAATTTGATGTAGTTTTTGGATAAAGTTTTTGTAGTTTTTCGAGGACAGTCATACATGGGTCTGGTTTCTTCAAATTTGCTCCTAAAAGAAAGAAACCTGTATCTGATTGCCTTCAAAGTCAAAAGAGTTTAAATCAAAATTTGTATTAAACTAAAGTTGCTTTTTTGCTTAATTTTAAATTCCAGATAAATAGAGAGAAAATATGTATTCCAGATAAATAGAGAGAAATATGTATAAGTAAAAGAAATAATATTGAAATTAATAACTTTAATCTTGAGTAATACAATAATATAGTTATAATACATTGATTTAAATGTATATTTTAATGTCTTATATGTCTTGTCTGAATGTTGTTATTTTTTGTTTAAAGATTTACAAAACTTATTAGGATTATTTATATTATTTATTATTAAAATTACATTAAGTATATTTTATTTATCAGCATTTTCAGGTATCCTTACTTATATGTGTTTCATAATTTTTGCATCTTCAGGGTGGCTTGCTGCACAGTTTACCTTTATCAACTGAAGCGATTTCTGTTGCTGAACCATCTGTTGTAAGTCTTCATTTGAACAGTTATTAAATATTTAGTATTATAAACTTTTTCTAAAAAGTATTAACACTGTTTCTAAAATTTAAAAATATGTTAACGTAATATTTACTTATGTTTAAGAAGTATGAATGCTATGAACAGTCCAATGTATTTATGCTTTTTTATAAGTTACTTTTAAAATGGTAATGATTATTTGTATTTATTTTTATCCGATCAGAGTTTATAATTTCTTTCACTTCCACATATTTCATATATTATAATTTCTTTTAGATTCATTTGCAACAACCTTCAGCTTCATATTTTGGAGAAATAAATTTTGCTGCCGAAGTATTTGATGTAAATTGCCATTTTGCACTTCTAAAAAATTTTAATAGTTTTTTAACATCTATTCGTAAACTGTACTATGTTTTTTTAAATGTTTCCATCTTCATAATCATGCACTTTGTTTCATTTCACCAGTGGTTGCAAATGTGTACATTACAGTACATCTCAGGTGTGTTTGCAACAACAACATTTAGCATTACCTTCTGATTAAATAACAGCTGCTAGTAAAGAATCTATTCTATGTTTTCATTTGAGCAGCTATTAAATGTCATATGTTTTACATATATTGAATGAATTTTTATACGATTTCTGAAATATGAAATTGTTTGTCTTATGGTTCCTAAACAGCTGTACTATATCTGGCTGTTGTGCTATGGAATTATTTTTGAATTTTGAGTGTTAACAATTTATTATCTATTTATGAATTATAAAATGTTATGTAAAATAATTATTTCTTAAAATGAATGTAGTTTATATTATCTGTATTTCTAAATTTCTTATATATATATTTCAGGTTTGTTTGCAAGAACAAGCTTCAACTTCATCTTGTGATAAAATGCCATCTATTTGTGAAGGATCTCATGTAAGTAGATAATTAGTGTATTATTAAATTGCTTGCTTATACAAAACGTTTCTATAAACTTTTTTTTTTGGGGGGGGGGGGTAAAAGGAATGTAATTAATTTCATCAGCATTTACAAATTCTTTGTGTACATTTCAGGTTTGTTTGCAAGAACAGCCTTTAGCCTCATTTTGCAATGAAATACCATCTATTTGTGAAGGCTCTGATGTAAGTTGATAACTAATGTATAATTAAATTGCTTCCTTATATACATTTAAAATGTTCTATAAAGTAATTTTTTGGTAAAAGGAATGTAATTAATTTCATCAATAGTTGCAAATTCTCTATGTAAATTTCAGTTTTGTTTGCAAAAACAACCTTTAGTCTCATCTTGCAACCAAATTGTAATTAATTTTAATTAATTTCATCAGCATTTGTGAAGGCTGTGATATAAGTTGATAATTTGTGTTATTAAATTGCTCATGATTATGGAGTGTAATGCTTTGGCGAAATGAAGCAACTCCAATGATGGAACACAGCAATAACTTTTTTAACACTAAAAAAAAAAAAAAAAAAAAAAAAAAAAAAAAGGCGACATACAAACAAGAAGAGAGAAAACATATTCTATAAACTTTTTAAAAAAAAAATAATAATTACATGCTTCGTGCGAGAAAATGCATGCAGCTCTCGAGCCTGCATTTCAATATTGCCAGTAATCTGTACATTATTTATTATTTATCTATTTCAAATGCACGAGAGATTAATAACGATATTAAAGCTGTTACAACCTCTCCCCCAACGGAGAGACTTTTTCCGAAGGGAAAAGTTCTGTAAAATTTGACAGTTTAATAAGCTCGGCTTGCTCAAATGCTTAAAGAGAAAAGGTAATTTCTCTTATAAATTTCCAAATTTTCAGACCGAAAATTTTAAGTTTTAAACAAATATTTTTACACCACATTTAAATAAGAAAATGGACAGTGTTCAAATTAGTCTTCCTTTTTTTTCTTGACGGCGCCTAGATCTCTTCCATAGTGGACCAGTTCCTTGGCTATAATTCACAGCAAAGCCTTTCCTCAGTTCATCTGTGCCTTTCGGATAATATTCATTTGTCATTTGCTTTCGACAATTGTTTTCTTCGTGTATTAGTATCGGCTTTGATATTAAATCAAAAGCCGAAAGATGATGATAACGCTGCATTGCAAAATGATTCTCAATATTAATTTCTTTATCGTTTTTCAAATTTTCGTGAACATCTTCCACGTTTAATTCTGGTGATTTAACTTTTTCTTCAAATACATCTCTGGATGCTTTATTTTCTTCCTTCATCGGTTCCAAGATCTGCTCTTCAGCTATTTTTCTTTTCCTTTGAGCTCTAGTAGAAACGGCATTAAAATGGTATCACTAAGTTTACATTCAAGTGATAAACTAATAAAATAAGGCAGTTCAGTGTTAACAGGAAGTAATAACCTGATATCACTAATTACGTTCAGTGATGAACTAATAAAATAAGGCAATTCAATATTAACAGGAAGTAATAACCTGGTATCACTAATATTATGTTCAGTGATGAACTAATAAAATAAGACAATTCAATATCAACAGGAAGTTACGTTCAGTGAGGAACTAATAAAATAAGGCAATTCAATATCAACAGGAAGTAATAACCTGGTATCGCTAATATTGCATTCAGTGATGAACTAATAAAATAAAGCAATTCAATATTAACAGGAAGTAATAATCTGGTATCCCTAATATTATGTTCAGTGATGAACTAATGAAATAAAAATATGCACGATTATTCGATCTCGGTCGGTGCCTCCAAAATAATTAAGACTGTGATACTTCTTTGGCGAAATGAAACAACTCCAATGATGGAACACAGCAATAACTTTTATTTAACACTAAAAAAAAATGGCGACATACAAACAAGAAGAGAAAACATATTCTATAAACTTTTTAAAAAAAAAATAATAATTACATGCTTCGTGCGAGAAAATGCATGCAGCTCTCGAGCCTGCATTTCAATATTGCCAGTAATCTGTACATTATTTATTATTTATCTATTTCAAATGCACGAGAGATTAATAACGATATTAAAGCTGTTACAACCTTCCCCCAACGGAGAGACTTTTTCCGAAGGGAAAAGTTCTGTAAAATTTGAAGTTTAATAAGCTGGCTTGCTCAAATGCTTAAAGAGAAAAGGTAATTTCTCTTAAGTTTCAAATTTCAGACGAAAATTTTAAGTTTTAAACAAATATTTTTACACCACATTTAAATAAGAAAATGGACAGTGTTCAAATTAGTCTTCCTTTTTTTTTGACGGCGCCTAGATCTCTTCCATGGTGGACCAGTTCCTTGGCTATAATTCACAGCAAAGCCTTTCCTCAGTTCATCTGTGCCTTTCGATAATATTCATTTGTCATTTGCTTTCGACAATTGTTTTCTTCGTGTATTAGTATCGGCTTTGATATTAAATCAAAAGCCGAAAGATGATGATAATGCTGCATTGCAAAATGATTCTCAATATTAATTTCTTTATCGTTTTTCAAATTTTCGTGAACATCTTCCACGTTTAATTCTGGTGATTTAACTTTTTCTTCAAATACATCTCTGGATGCTTTATTTTCTTCCTTCATCGGTTCCAAGATCTGTTCTTCAGCTATTTTTCTTTTCCTTTGAGCTCTAGTAGAAACGGCATTAAAATGGTATCACTAAGTTTACGTTCAAGTGATAAACTAATAAAATAAGGCAGTTCAGTGTTAACAGGAAGTAATAACCTGATATCACTAATTACGTTCAGTGATGAACTAATAAATAAGGCAATTCAATATTAACAGGAAGTAATAACATCACTAATATTATGTTCAGTGATGAACTAATAAAATAAGACAATTCAATATCAACAGGAAGTTACGTTCAGTGATGAACTAATAAAATAAGGCAATTTAATATCAACAGGAAGTAATAATCTGGTATCACTAATATTACGTTCAGTGATGAACTAATAAAATAAGGCAATTCAATATCAACAGGAAGTAATAACCTGGTATCGCTAATATTGCGTTCAGTGATGAACTAATAAAATAAAGCAATTCAATATTAACAGGAAGTAATAATCTGGTATCACTAATATTATGTTCAGTGATGAACTAATGAAATAAAAATATGCACGATTATTCGATCTCGGTCGGTGCCTCCAAAATAATTAAGACTGTGATACTTCTTTGGCGAAATGAAGCAACTCCAATGATGGAACACAGCAATAACTTTTATTTAACACTAAAAAAAAATGGCGACATACAAACAAGAAGAGAAAACATTCTATAAACTTATTTAAAAAAAAAATAATTACATGCTTCGTGCGAGAAAATGCATGCAGCTCTTGAGCCTGCATTTCAATATTGCCAGTAATCTGTACATTATTTATTATTTATCTATTTAAAATGCACGAGAGATTAATAACGATATTAAAGCTGTTACAGGAGATAATCGATCCCTTGAAAAGCTGGAAATAAATTTTAAAAATCTATTTTTAAGTGAAATAATTTTAAATATTAGAAAATAAAAACAAAAATAATCTAGAAAATGCTGAAAACAATAGAGTCAAATTTAAAAACCCACCACAGTATAGGAAAAGAGACCTGGAAGTTGCATTTTTATTTTGTGGATTTATTATCTGTTTAAGTTTGGCATTTAATCCAAAGGGGCTTTGTCCCTGAAGGACTATTGTTTTCGTTTTGTATTGAAACACTATAAACGGCTGCATCACTTTTCAAATTGTTGCCACCAAATATTATCACCCTGTACTATATTTAAAGAAATTATATAGTGAAGAATCTGCATAAATGCATGTATGTTTTTCGCATTCTGATAAAACAACGGTACCTAGAGCCATCAAATTTTGAATGACTTAATTCTACTGTGAATATGGACATCTGGAAGCCCGAATTTGAAATTCGGAATTTGTTTTAATATAGATTTTATATGTTGTAAAACTTTAACGAATTTTTGATTAACAAACTTGAGGATTTCAAAGCGAGCAATGGCAATGTTGTACAGAAAAGACACTTTTATCTCCAGCGCGTGAGACAATGAATCGGGAATTCTGAAGATATGCTCATTTTAAAATTATCTTGCAATATTGCTGTTGAACTGAATTTTATAGTTTAAGTGCGAAAAACTTGATATTTAATAAATAAAGGTAAAACACAAAATGTTAAAAAAAGCCCCTTTGGGTGTAATTTAAAATCTGAAACCTTTCAGATCTTTTTTGTTTGTTGTGTTCCCCCCTTCTTTGATGATTATTCATATAGATTTTTTCTTTATTCCAGGATGTTCTTTTAAGGAATTTTATAAAACAGCAGACTGAATTGATCTCGCTTCTGCAATGCCAGAACAAAATATTACTGAAAGAACTTACAGCAACCAAAAAAAAAAAAAAAAAAAAAAAAAAAAATGAAATTAATGTTTTAAAAAAATGGCATAGCACTGAAATTCAACTTCATGACCTTCAAGTACAGCATGAGGAATTGCTGAAAGGAGTGAAAACATTTCATTCAGATGAACAAATAGCAATGTTGAAAATTCCTCGTAGAAGCATTGCAAAATGGTCTAACGAGGGAATAATAAAAAAGGCCTCAAAGTTAGATTTGCCTTGGGCAAGCATGGTTATAATTACTTGCACAGAATAGGTTTTCCTGTGCCTTCATACAGCACTTTAAATAAAAGACTTCAAGGTCTTGAAATGAATTTTGGAGTCATCAGTGACATGATTGAACTTTTGAAAATTAAAGGAGAAAAAATGAATGCTAGTGATAAAGACTGTATTTTATCATTGGATGAAATGGAGATTTCTGGCAATCCTGATTTTGATATTTCAAAACGTAAATTTATTGGTAAATGTACATTAGGAAATCAAAAGGGTGCAGGAAATCACTATTTAGTTATTTTACTAAGAGGTTGAAGCTGAAATGGAAGCAAGTGGTTGCCCATGAGATAACTGGACAGGTAACAGGATGCCAGCTGAAACAACTTGTTGTCAATGTTATCGAAGCTGTCAATTCTGTTGGATTTAATGTTGTTGGTATTGTTAGCGATATGGCAGCAGTAAATAGAAGCCTGTGGAATTCTTTGGGAATATCTGTTTCTCGAAACCAAAGAAATAATTTCACTACTGAAATTAAGGGCAAAATTATTTATGTATTTGCAGATGTGCCACATCTTTTAAAAAATCTCTGGTCTGCAACTCTTAATCATAGTATAAAACTGCCCAGTTATGTTTGCAGTAAAGAAAATTTGGTTACTTTGCATGTATCTGCAGGATTTATAAAAGATATCTGGATTACTGAAACAAACCAAAATTGTGGTTTGAGAACTATGCATCATCTCAGTAAAGAAGACCTCTTCCCCTCACATTTTGATAAAATGAATGTTGCTTCTGCTGTGAGGTTTTTTTAAATTAAAACAGCTGTGGGATTGGAGAAGGCAGTAGCTTTAAAAGAGATAAGCCCTAATGCTCTTACAACAGCATGGTGGATAAGATTTATATGTCAGTGGTTTCAAATGCTATCCTCTAGATGTAGAAAGAACTCAATTTCTGTGACAAATAAAAGCAAAAAAAATTGAGTTACTTTTTGAATTTATTAATGTTATACAGCTTATAGAAATTGGTAAAGGGTGGAAACCATTACATACTGGTTTGATTCTCTTCTACTTTATCAGCCATACAGTTAGCAGAGGCATGTTTTTCTGAATGATTTTCAGTTTATTTTGACGAGCAGATTGACACAAGATGCTCTAGAAAATGTATTTTCTCAGATACGCAGAAAAGCTGGTTTGAGGCCAAGTGCTTTGCAAGCTGTGAAAGCATTAAAGCTTATCTGTTTATCTCAGTTTATATCTGACATTAAGAACTCCAGTTATGCTACTGATTCAGATATTTATTTATTAAACTATGCGAAAGATGAATTTGAATTTCTGAAGGAGAAAAAAGCTTTAGAGCCTGTTACCATACCAGAAGTTTCTGATGTATCTCTACAGAATCTCACCCTTAGTGAGGAAAATAACGTCTGTTATATTGCAGGAGCTGCAATAAATTCTGTTTTGAAAAATGCTTGTAATTCATGCTCACAGTTTCTCTTAGTTTGTGAGCAAAATACTCCTTCCATTGATGAAAATAAGCAGTACATAATTAATTTTGCAAATTTAGGTGGGCTTAAATGTCCTTCTCCAGAAATTTTTAAATTGTGCCTTCTGTGTGAAAAAATAATTCAAAATTTTCGAGACGAAATAATACATGGAAATGTAACTATGGATGTGGAATTTGTTAATATGATTTGTAAGAAAGCAGGCGAGGTAAATATTCCCTCCTGTTGCAATATCAAAACAAAGATAATAAAATATTATTTGACTGCCCGTGGAATTGGTCTCAAGAAGCTTCTTCAAAATAAAAGGCAGCAGCGGCAAAGTTTTGCATCTCCTGCTTTTAAAAGGAAGAAAGTAAATTAGAATCTAATCAAGAGTTTAAGAAGTTTTTGCTGTTCAGTTCTGTCTGTAAAAAAGTAGAGTAGTTGTCACTGAAAAATTGCTGCTTTGTCTCTTCGAATAATAGTTAGGCCCACCAACAGCTGAATGGTTAAAGTTCCTGAATGCTGGGAGTTCCATCTTCTGTTCTATTTCTGGACAAGCTGAGTGCATGGTTGTTTTTTTTAGTATTTTTCCCCCATGTGTAATGTGAATACAAGCCAGTTCTCCTTAGAAAGTCCTCTACAATAGAAGATCTCATAGTCAGCTAAATCGGATTTACTTTTGTGTGACCTTAAATGAGGCATCAATTGTGAATCTGTTTTGGCATATTATTAGGAATTTTGAATGAAACATTTATTGCTTCTGTGAAAGAATGATCAACTGATGTTTACCTTACTAATCAATGTCTTATAGTATTGTAATGGCTTGCAGGATTTTTCATAATGTGATGTTGCATATGTTTTACTCTTCTTTTTACCAAATAAATAGAGTATGTATGTTCCTAATCAGACATTTTCTTCTTTTGTACCAGGGTTATGTAATATGATGTGATAATTTGGATTTGTTTATAGAATACATAACAGTATTTTTTGACATTCTAATAGAACCAGTGTATTTTATTTATTTACTTATTGCTTTAAAACAGATTTTGAATCAAGGCTTACTTCCCACCCCTTTGAGTATGCACATAAAACATGTTTAAGCTATATTTATAATATATCAATGAGATATATATAAATGAAATAAGTCTCTTAGGTTAGCTCCTTTAATGGAAAAAGAACAAAATAAAATGATATACCTTGAAAACAAGAATACTATCTGAATAGTGTTGGCTAAGATTTATTCAGATGGTTTTTTGCATTTATTCAGACATCTTGCATATAAATGACAATTAATTATATTATATTAGTTTTAAAAGTAAAAAATATATAATATCATTCTATATAAAGCTGTTTGATTGTATAATGGAAAAAATTCAATTACTGCAGTATGTTTTAATAAAATTTGAATATAATAGACTGAATTGCACTACATTAGACAAAAAAGCAAAACATTTTTATTTATTTATCTTTATTTTCACTATATGTGTTTGTCATATGTTTGTTACTAGAGGACTTATTTTATAGATTTGAAGCTAAATAATATTTTTATGTTTTTACTTATGCAAATTAATTAATAAAAAGAACTGTGATTTAAGTATTGTCTTTGCTGTGATATAGATTGAATCTTATTATGTTATGGAATTATCATTTAAATATTCAGATACGTGTAATATTAAGAGCATATGTATGTAAGTATAATTTTTCCAAGTGTAATAAAAAGTAACCATCAACAACAAATAAACTTATAAGTAAATAGTATCTGTAAATTCTGTATGTAAAGGTATTATTTTTATTTTTATTTATTTGTGTGTGTGTATTATTTTAATATTGTTTTTAGCTAAATAAAGAAAAAATATATATTTAATGGAATTTTTTACTCTATTAAATCTATGAATCCCACAGTCATCTGAGCATTGAAGTAATTTTTATAGCATTCTGCACTTCATTCTAAAAGCATTATAATTTAAAGGTGTATATCCTTGAATCAGTATTTAAAATCATAAAGTGTTTAGCAGCTTTTTCTGGAAACACACACAAAATAACATTTTTAACAAATTTGCTACAGTAATAGACGTTTGATTCCATGTGAGCAAAATTCAAATAACATATTAAAAATAAAAAACAAGAATTAAAGATTAAATCTTATCCTAAATTAATGGAGGTTGAGGGATTTCCCTCAACCATATTAAGAATGTGGTTGAGGGAAAGCTCTTGTCAAAAAATACATTTTGAGATGAAATAACATTATGCGTGTATTTAAAAGAAAAAATTGAAAATTCAATAAAGGAATTCAAAAAGAAAGTATTTTTAACTAAAAATACAAATTTGAAATATGATATGTGAAAATGTTTTAGAAACTTTTAAAATAACTTGAATCATACGAGAAATTTGGAAATTTAAAAAAAAAAAAATACGAGAAAGAATCTGCACTTCAGACAAAAGGAGGGGAAAAAGCCACAGCCACACATCTTTATAGGAGTGCAGAAAAAAGCTGAAATTCGGATTCTCTAGAATGTTAAATTTTAGCGGACAGCGCTAAAGAGCCAAAGTTGCCGCTCCACACCTAAATTGCAACCCTAAAGCTTAGATTCAAAATGGCTGACGAGTCAGCCTGTATCTCTAGTAGCTCTAACACATATCAGTCGTGACGTCACGCATCGTGACGTATCATGGCTTCATTTTCATTGCATGGGAACATACGGGGAAGGCTCACTCCATCTATTCTAACCTCCTTGCGCATAGAAACCGCATCATTCGTACTCGAACAAACCGCATCGTACGACAGATGCGAGTAACGAAATGAATTTGTGAGTACCGAATCGGTACTTCGAGTTAACCGATGTACCCGTTACTCAGTAACGAATACATGCGGTTTGCTCCAGCTCTAATTGTTAGCAAGAAGTCTATTCTAACCTCTTTGGTTGTTAGCAACGGACACGACGTGTTTTATCACAAAGTAATATTATGTTTCCGTTCCCAATTGCAAAATACTTAACTTGCTTAGCGTATGCCTTGCATCAAAATGTGGAATCTATTCTGTCCTTCTTTCGATTATATTGAACTCTATTCAAGAAGTCCTAATGATATTATATTTCGCTATTAAAATCCTGAGTGTATCACTATTCTGAAAATGAAGTATATATGGGTTTATTTGCAAACTTAAGAAGTACCCATTGAAGACACGTATCAAGTATACGTCATACAAAACTGCAATTTAAACACAAACACGCATATGTATGCGCAAATATGGAAAGCAACATGTTTAGTTGTGTAGAAAATTATATTTAATTGTTACATATTAAATAAACGCAGGTAGTTATGTAAATATAGCAAGAAGCAATTTGAAATTAACAAGCACTGAGTAACAGTTGCTAGTACAATTGAAGTCATGCAGCATTAGTGTGGTACTTTAGATATAAAATTATATATATAGACTCAGAAAAGAAATGGCAGGGGGAAAAAGGTTAATCGTTGAGTAAGTGTTCATGGAGATTGACTACTTGTATCACACAAGATATAAGACTCATGCATAGTGGATATTAACATTTTTACGAAGATAGGCCCATGTATCTGTGCATTGGGAGGAAAAAGCTATCATAGCATTTAGACTATAATTTAGGTAAAACTTATAATAGAATTAACATCATTTCTATTCATGCAGAACATTGACATCACCATAACATCTATAACACATTATATGAAATACACACATACTTGTTTCTGTATGCAGGAAACTTTAGTGAAGTGTGCAAAAAGTCATCATAACAGTGTCACGCATGGTATGTAATATATATATATATATATATAAGAAATCATTTACGTAAAAGGTAATGCATACTTATCTGCATGTGAAAAGAATTTATTTGTGTGTTATGTAATAAATCATGTAGATGAAAAAGTGATATAAAAATCCACAGATGGAGCTGAAACTATGTATGTCTAAGGTATGTAATAGATTAAACATTGATATGCTTATTTACTTAAGGAAAACCTAATATGTGTGAGGCATATAACAAGTTATTTAAACACAACAGTGTTTAAAACAGGCATGTGCTTTTGTAGAGCATGCAAACTCTGTGAGGTGTTTGATAAATTGTATACAAAAGGACTGATTTAAAGAACTATATTTTATTAATACAAAAGAAAAACCTCATATGTGAGGTGTGTAACAAGACATTCAGAGAAAAGGCTAAATTAAAAAGCATCTGCTCAGCTCATGAGTGCATATATGTAGCAAATGATTTAGACTAAAGCATTATTTCAAAAAACATATTTCTTCACACAAGAGAGAAACCTCATGTGTGTGAGATATGTGACAAATCATTTAGATTCAAGCATATTTTAAATAGACATATGTATCTTCATTCAAGAGAGAAATCTCTTGTGTGTGAGGTATGTTCTAAATCATTTACAGAAACAGTTAATTAAAACATGCATATGCTTATTCACACAGGAGAGAACCTTCATGTGTGTGACGTATGTAAGAAGCCATTTAGAGAAAAGAGTAAACTTAGCATACATATGCTTCTTCATTCAGGAGAAAAACCTCATGTGTGTGAGGTATGTAACAAGACATACAGAGAAAAATGCAAATTAAAAACGCATATGCTCATCCACACAGGAGAAAAACCGCATTTGTGTCATATATGTAACAAATCATTTAGACTGAAAACAACTTTACATAAACATATATTTCTCCACACAGGAGAAAAACCTTATGTGTGTGAGGTATGTAATAAATCATTTAAACAAAGGGATAGATTAAACTTGCATCTGCTTGTACACACAGGAGAAAAACCTCAGGTGTGTCCTGTTTGTAACAAATCATTTAGATTAAAAAATACTTTAAATAAACATATGCTTCTTCACACAGGAGAGAAACCTCATGTGTGTGAGATATGCCACAAATCATTTAGAGCAAGGAATAAATTAAATAGGCATTTGCGTATTCACACACAAGAAAATGTGTGTGAAGTATGCAATAAGACATTTAAAGAAAAGAGTGAACTTAATATTCATATGCTTCTTCACACGGGAGAAAAACCTCATGTGTGTGATATCTGTACCAAGATGTTTAGACTGAAGGTTGATTTAAACAGACATATGTTTCTTCATAAAGCTGGAAAACCTTTCATATGTGAAGTATGTAATAAATCATTTACAGACAAAAGTACTTTAAACAAGCATGCTGTTATTCATACAGGAAAGAAATCTCATGTGTGCGAGATTTGTAACAAGTCATTTGCACTAAAAGGCAGTTTAAATAGACATATGAATATTCATACAGGAGAGAAACCTCATGTTTGTGAGGTATGCGATAAGTCATTTGGAGATAGAAGTACTTTAAACAGACATGTACTCGTGCATACAGGAAAGAAATCTCATGTGTGTGCAACATGTAACAAGTCATTTACATTAAAGAGTGTTTTAAATAGACATATGTTTATTCATACAGGAGAAAAACCTCATGTATGTGAGATATGCAACAAATCATATAGACAAAAGTGTGATTTAAAGAAACATTTACTTCTTCACTCAGGAGATGTACCTTGTACCTGAGGTATGTAATGAGTCATTCCAAAAAAATGTTAGTTTGAAATCATACACCTATGCATACATGAGAAAAGTTGTATATCTCTTAAATGAGCTGGTAGGTTAACTAGAGATACCCACACAGGATGTGCTTGCTTTTAAAAGCAGCTGAGAAACCACACATGTATGAGATATGATACAAATCATTTTAACTAAAAGCTGACTTAACTTCATTACATATACTAAGGTATATTGGACACAGATTTGTGAAATTACGTTTGTTGTAACCTGCTTTTATTATGTATCTGATGAAATGATTCCATTCAAACCTCAGAAAGTTAAACTTAATGATTAATAATATTTTCTATTTTTTTTTTATTTACATGCATTCTATATTATAAATCTTTTATGCAATCTTAGTCTTAAATTGATCAGAAATTATTACCCCATTATTTATGAGCTATTTATTTTAAACTTTTTATTTTGGCATGAGATATTAGCAGTCGACTGCAGTTTCAAAGTTTTATGGAAATATTTTTAAAATAATCTATTTTATTATTTTCACATATAGTATGTGTGACATGTTTTCCATGTTATAAGTCTTTTATGTATTCTTTGTCAGAAGGTTATTGGGAATTAAAACCCTATTATCTATGAACTTTTTATCTTGAATTGTGTTTTCCTATGAGATATTGGAACTTTTAATGTACACTGTACTTTTAATGTTTTGTGGAGATATTTTAAAAATTATCTGTTTTTTTATTTTCACATGCTGTATGTGTCAGGTATTTTCTATGTAATTAATTTTTTTGTACACATAAATTAAAGCCCTACTGTGTATCAACTCTATCTTAAACAATTTTTAATTTCCATGAGATACTGACATTCAACTATACACTGCTCAAAAAAAAAAAAAAAGGGACTGTGCTATATCTTCCGTTCTACTAGGCCGATTGACAAAGTTCAAACTGTGTTTTTCATGTCACGAAAGCGCGACTTAGAATATATATTAGATTTATATGTAGCACTATTCTAACATAGGTATTTTGACACAAAATCAGACTTTTTCTGAAATAACATATCATTTTTTTCCCATATTTCGATTCTATGACTCAAATTATGTCAGAATACCAAGTTTTGTAAAAATCGTACGAGTAGTTTTTAAATATTAGCTGTCAAAATTTTAGCTCCTCAATGTTAATTGAATTTGGTAATATTTTATTAATATCTCTTTTTTTATTAATCTTTTATTATTTTTCCTTCACATTTCAAAATTTAGGTTCATTCCAAATAAAATTTACCCATTTTTTGTGTTTTATTTTTTAAATTTCTATTTTTAAATAATTTTTATAAATTTTTTGAAAAAAATTTTGAATTATAACCTATAAAATTTTTACCATCATCTTAAAGTAGGTGTATTTTTAAGCATATCTGCAAAAAATTAGACTTTTTTATTCAAAATTTTCTAAGATATACACGAATTTACATATTTTTGCGTTTTGAAAGTTGGCATCTTTTTTCTTGAGCGATAGTAACGCCAAATGTGCTCTATGGATTTTTGTTACAGTAAATTGCCACAGCTATTTTTAACCTTAAATTTTCAAGTAAAATTTTACGGAGAATTAATTATATGAAATTTTTTTCCCTTAATGATGCGTAATAAATATTTATTAATACTATATGAAAAGCTATTTTTTTAAAATTATAGATGACATTATTCAAATTTTTAACTATTTTTTTTAAAATTCTCTCTATCTTTTCTTTTTTTTTAAAAAAATAAGAGTAAATTTTTACCTTCGGCATTTTATCGTCTGCTACTTTACTTCGTTTAAATCGAATTGTCTAAAACTGAGAATTTTCATTTGATGTTTATTTGAATTATTATGACATTAACTGCATAATTTATTTTAAACAAACTGTTGCTTTTGAACTGGCTAAAAGAGCGGCTGATACTATCATCCATATTTTTAAAGCACAGTATATTTTTATAGAAAACATAAGATTTAGAATAATCATTTTTATAAAAGTCAAATTATGATATAAACATACAACCCTCTAGAGACTGAATTAATGGAAGTTCAATGGTTTATGTAGAAATGATCTGCAGCTACTTAATGGCTGGATAAGTCAGCAGGTTCTGTGGACAAGTAAGAATAATTATATAAACGACACCACAACATTCTGGATTCAATTAACAACGAGGATACGATGTTTATTAAATGAATTTAAGAAGTTTTAAAACATAAAAATCAACTCATTTTTTATCCTAAAATGTATTTTGTCGCAGCGTATTTTCATTATATCCTTAAAATTCTAATTTAGAATGTAATTGTCAAGAACTGAATCCTAATCATCAGTAATATAATAATTAATTATTACGGTTATTAATAAAGCCTTCTTATAAAGTAATTGCAAATATTTCAAAAAACTTTCTGTCTGAATGCAAATATTTTTAATTTTATATTAATAAAGATTGCACATGACATTATTTATTTGCACTTCAATTCTTACTGTCAGCTCTAGTAGAAGTTACAAATCAATTATATTTAATTAAGGATGGGATTGGATTGGATTGGATTATTTAATTATGGCAAAGCACACGAGGGCTATCTGCTTAAAGGGATGCCTTCGTGGAGGAATTTCTAAGGAAACTGGCTCGTATACACGTTACACATTGGGAAAACCACAAAAACACCCATGCGGCCAGCCCGTTCGTGGGATTCGAACTACCAGTGTTCAGCGTCTTTACCGCTTGGCCGCTGGTGGGCTATTTAATTAAGGAATGACCATCTAAGTTTAGAAACAGCGTACCGTAACAGCAATTCAATTATTGGCGCCATATCTTTCGTGTTACTCCCAATTGGCAAGCTACATGATTTTTAATGAGTATTCGGGTTTTGCTAGTAACTTCACTTGGAATTCATGCTTAAACTATGTTAGTTGGTTATTTGAATATAGAAAGAACATGGGAGCTAATTGATTAAGATGCTTTCATAGAGAACCTAAAATACTACGAAAACCAACCATGCAGCCTGGCTTAGACTTCGCAACAAACAATTAGTATTTAACAATCTTCAAATGCTAGGCAACTGTTGAGGCTCCAGTTTAATATTTGTAAATATTTAAAATATTGTTGTATTCTTAGACACAAAAAGCAGAATTTAAGTTTTGTTAACTTGTTAGTAAACTACCAAGCCGTAGTGCAAATGAATATTCAGTTTCTTTTGCAATAATTGTATTCACTTAATATTCTTGGAATATGAGCTAAAGAAGGAACGTTCTCAAAAGATTAAACAAGTGTTTGAAATCCAGTGATATTAGGTTTTGTCTTACAAGCCTCAGGATCAAAACGATTCTGCAATTGCCCGAGTAGTTGACTTGTAAATGGCTGTGAATTAAGCAGATGACTTTTAATCTTACGTTATTCAGTCAGAAAACGTATTCCCAAATGTTTTGTATTGCATGACAATGCATCTTTTCATTATTCAATAACCAGTCGGAGAACCGCTTGTGTTCCGAAAATAAGTATGCGTACTCAATCGTCCTGCATGTTCTTCAAATTTGTCTTCTTGTGATTTTTTTCTTTCCCAAAAACTAATGTTGCCTCTCAAAGGAAAGTTTTTTTGACATTGAAGAGACAAAAGGAGTATGACATCTACTTTTAGAGGCATGTCAAAAACAGATCTCTACAAGCCTTCTCTTCCATTACATGTTTGTGCAGTTCAAGACAAAAAGTTTGCAATCAGCGTAAATTCTATAATATATTTTTATTACACTCTGATTACTTTATTGAACATACAGTGAATATATACTAAAATCTTTTACTTCAGCTTAAGTAATTCAGAATTTTTGACGGAATTGTTGTCGGAACTAGGACTTAGAAAGATAAGTCAAATTAAATATTTCGGGGATAATCCCAATAAATTCAAGGTCGAAGTTTCAATATTTTATTTTCGAGAGGGAGGGGAAATTTTTCAGTAAGTTTTGGTCCATTATCCTAAGTATATTTGCTTCGATTTCTTTATTTTTCCATAAAAGCGAAAATTTTACGCATTAATATAACGCATAGCTTCAAATTAAAATTTAATAATATACAGAGTGGTTATAATTGAAGTTCCACATTGAAACGGTCATAAAAGGAAAACTACTGGATCAAATGTTATCAAACTTGGTAATCATGTAAAGGAGGTCATGGGAATTTGTTTTCCACGAAAAAAAAGTATTTCGAAACCTCACACCAGGAGGGAGATGGCGCTGTATGCAATATTGTTAAACGAAATATGGGTTGGAATCTAACTTAACCTTTAATATGGGTTTAATATGTTGTATACCCTTAAGAAACTTTGAAGTAGGCAAATTAAATTAAAGGCGTTAAATTCGACAAACGGCGAGTCCGCCATCCGTGTAAGTGAGAAATTCGTCCGTAAAAACAACCGTGAATTAGCAATTACAAAATGTGAGATCGCAAATCACTCGCACAAGTGCGTACAATCTGGAAATCATTTTCTTACAGATCGCTAATTTGTAATTTTTGAAGCCTGAATTCGGCCCTAAAACATGAAGATACTGATTCAAAACGCTTTTAATCGATTTGGGCCAAAGAAATCCCTCATGTTATCTATCTAGTTCCATTGCATTCTCATACTGCATTCGATTGCATAGCAGTCATTGCACACCGTTTACTGTTTGAATGACAGCTAGTTTTTATAACTGAACCATTTTTCTCTGAAGAGCAGTCGACAGCTGGACCACTGTGATTGCAGCTCACTTAGAGTCCAATGTTAAAATGTTTCGTGATACATGAACTGCAGTAACGTGGCATTTTAGATACTACGATTTTTATGCAGGCTGGGTCCCACCTCACGTGTGTCGCACAGTTACTTTAGGCAACATTTCACGAATGAACGTCTTATAGGCCAACACGTCCCCTTTCCCACCAGACCTCAACCTCTGTGAACTTTTGTCTATGGGGTTATCTCAAAAGCACTGTTTATGGTGATAATCTAAACAATTTGGCAGAAATGAAAAATGTGATACACTGGATTCGTAAATTCCTCCTGATATGCTAAGCTGCTGTTGAGAATGCAGAAACAGGATTTTAACTTGAGTTTTTGTAACATTAACCAACATTAAACTTGCTTCTGTTTTCGTAACATTATTTAACTTGCTTGGGACGCTACATGAACATGCTTTGTAACACTTTCGGAAACTATTAAACACATTTTAAACAGATGTTTCATGTCTTATTTCATTTAACAATATTGTATACAGCACCATTTTCCCCTGATGGTGAGTTTTTGAACTCTTTTTTTTTTTTTTTTTTTTTTGTCCGCGAAAATAATTCTCCATAACCTCCTTTACACGAATTCCCAAGTTTGATAACATTTGGTCCGGTAGTTTTTTCCTTTTATGACCATTTCAAAATTGGAACTTTAATTATAACCACCATGTAAATTAAACTTTAAAAGTTTGACAGTTTGGTTCAAGTCCCAGCTTTAAAAAAATATATATAAATATAATTTTATATTAATCCTCTTAGAAAGAATGTTTTAAGAAGCTAATTTTTCTCTCGCGTTATAGATTGTATAAAAAAAAAAAACATGATCTTTAATATGATTTAGATTGTTTCAGCCGATATAAGAATCGGGTTACTCTGTGGTACAGAATAAACCCTGTTGGACTGTTTTATTTCCTTTGTCATTTAGCAAAAATCTTTTAATTAAAATATTTATCCTTTGGACTTCGCTTTAAACTTTATTTATAGTCGAAAATGACTAGAAAATGAAAAGCTGTCTTCAGCTGAAACGCAATTCATGTAATTGATATTTTAAAAAAATTGACAAGAATGC